TAGTAGTAGTAGTAGTAGTAGTAGTAGTAGTAGTAGTAGTAGTAATAGTAATAAAATATTATTAGCAAATATATGAGCTGAGTTGGTGGGCTTCAAAAATTTTAGCAAGAGGTTCCCTGCCCCATTGCTGGGTGGGTGTGGCCATGGTGGGCGTGGCCTAGTCAGCCTCCTGCATCATTTTTAGCCCTCCCCAGGCTCCGGGGGCTTTCGTCAACCCTCCGGGAGGGCGAAGACTGCTTCCCCCAGGCCCCAGAGGCTGGAAACAGGCCCATTTTCAGGCTTCCGGAACCTCCGGTAGGCCCGTTTTCCCCCCCCCTCCCCGAGCCTCTGTGTGGAGCCTGCACTTACCAGGCCTGATGAATGGGCCACATGGAGACTCCGGGGAAGGGAAGGGCGAGAGGAGTGAGGTGGGCGTGGCCAGCCAGGGGTGGCATTTGGGGTTCGCTGAACTGAGCAGACTCCTAAGCCGGCTGCGCATGCGATTAAATGTTTTAGGGGAGGGCTTATTTTCAGGGGAGGGCTTATTTTAGCGCATGCGCTCAAAAGCCCGATTGGGCTTATTATACGGGGAGCTCTTACTTTCGGGGAAACAGGGTAGGTGAATGAAAACCACAAGACTGGCCACAGAATCTTGTGGCGGAAGACTCGCCACAATAATACTTGCCACAGTTTAGTTTTCACCGTTTTTCACACCTACAACCGTAGTCACGTGATTAAAATTGGGATGTTTGGCCACTGGCACGTATTTATGACAGCTGCAGTGTCCTGAGGTCACGTGATCAGTTTTTTGCGACCTTCTAACAAGTGAAGTCAACAGGGAAGCCGGATTCAATGGAAGAGCTTGCCTTCAGAAGTTGTGGGTCTCCATCACTGGAGGCTTTCAAAAAGATATTGGACAGCCATTTATTGGAAATGGCACAGAGTCCCTTGCTTGGATTGGCTAGAACACCCGCAAAGTCCCTTCCAACTTTATTATTCTATGTTCTGCTCTCTACAATTAAATGAAATCAAGTTGTCATAATAATAACAATAACAGCAACAACAGAGCTGGAAGAGACCCAGGAGATCTTCTAGTCCAACATCCTGCCCTCACAGGAGACTTTCCCCCAAATAAGATCTCCCTGGATAATAAGACCAATCGGGCTTTTGAGCGCATGCGCTAAAATAAGCCCTCCCTCAAAATAAGCCCTGCCCTAAAACATTTAACCATATGCACAGCCAGTCCCCAATGTTTCATGGGGGGATAAGGGGGGAATATGCCCCACACGCCTCACATACAACTGCCATACATGTGGAACGGCTGATGCCGCTTCTGCAAACTCTAGCTACTACGCCCCTTCTCTTAGTGGCAGCCGCAAAAAGAGCTTCCGGCCCTCTCTGGATCAACTGATCTGCGTGCTGCGGGCCGAGGGCACCTCAAAAATAATAAGCCCTCCCCAAAAATAAGGCCAAGCGCTTATTTCGGGGGTAAAAAGAAAATAAGACCCTGTCTTATTTTCGGGAAAACTATTTCTGATAAATGGCTACCCAGTCTCTTCTTAAAAGCTCTCAGTGATGGCGCACCCAGGTGGGTTCCTGCCAGTTTTAGCCTCTTCTATAGAAGAGG